GTGATACTTGACAGGACTAGGCGATTAACAGACTGCAGGGGAGATGCACAGGGAGTCTCATTCAACTGACAGGCACTCGGGATGGTATGCTAGGTTCAGTGCATCATCATGGCTTAGGGGTCGCACTGCTTCCTCCCTCCGTTCAGTTGCCTGGGGCCGAGCAAGTAGCTCTATCGTGCATTTAAGTGACCAGCGTACGAAGAGCGAAAACTTGAATACTAAAGAACAGAAACACACTTACAAACAGGGTGGGCTATTCATTCGTAGTGGTCTCCAGAACGTAAATACTCGCTCTCCAACTAAACTAAAGTTTCGGGATTTTAGTGGCGGCGGATGACGGCAATCAAACAAGTTACTTTTTTTTATCTAAACTAATAAAGCGGAGTTCCTTTTTTTTTTTTTTTTTTTTTAATCAAAACGAAGTTATTTTTACCAAGCTGTTTTGTGGTGATACTTCCATTCACACAGTCCTTATGGTGCCACAGTACGCGACCGTATGATCCTAAGGTGCAGAACACAAAACAACCGGAAAACAGCAGGGTAAAAAAATCGTCCAATTTCGACAAAAACAGCTATTTTAACCTAGTTGTTTTTTGGTCATTTCTCCATTCACAAGGTCCGTAAGTGCCACAGAACACGTTAGTATTATCCTTAGGTGAAACATAACATAAAAGAAATCGTCAAATTTCGACAAAACCATCAGCTTTGTGATTTTGCTATTTCTCACTTCATCGTTTTCTACTCAATAATAGCTATACAATTGAATTACATGGCAAATTTGGCTACCTGTATATAAATAGACGTTCGATCGGCTGCAATGTCTGTAATATTGATCGAATAGGCCTATTGATTGATATTCTTTGTTAAATAATTAAACTTCTTTCTTTCTTTCAGAAATAGTGTTGTGTAATTAATTAATGTGGCATATAAACCAGGGAACAGTGAAATAAACACAGGCCTTCAGAAATACTTTAAGAGGCATAAAGACATTCCAATTCCAACTAGTGACCTTACTTCCTGGGGGCCTGTGGGGAAGGTACAGGACAAAGCACTCATCAGCTTCGGCGTTTTAAGGGAATGTTTTGGTGTTTTATTACAGCTTCTACTCACTAAGGGCCCAGCTCGGCCCAAAGTCCTAACAAACAAAATGCTGATTATTATCCTGGGCCCCTAAATGTCTTGGGCCTGACGTCACTGACCTTAAGAACAAAAAGCAAGCACCATTATCATGTCAGTAACTTTGTATTAACGTCAGATGAATAATTACTGCACCCACTTATATTAATTTAACAAAGTAATATGAAGAAAAAAATCATCAATATAAATGAATACATTCATTCCTGACACTTGGTCTTTGAAAACAACAATCCTCCAGCATTTATGTACAGAATACATGTTATCAACTTATAAATAAGTAATATACACTTATAGGACTGATAAAATTATAAGCGACTGAAGAAACATGCTATTTGTGAACATAGCAAAACAATAACTTTATGTTTAAAAGAAATATCATATATTATATATCATATTTATGAACAATTACATACCTATATTATAAAGACATGGATAATTATTAAATCAAATTCTTCCTGCTATACTATTAGGTAGTTTTCGCCGCACGACGTTAACCTTAACTTTAACGTTAGTAACCAACTCGCAACGCGATAACTCCGCCCCTTTTGTAAACCAATCGAAGTACGCATGCGCAAACCCGTATCTAACGTCCCCGTCGAGCACGTAAAATTCTGAAATTAACGTACTCCACAACGCAAGATGAATAAATTTTGACGTCATCCGTTAACGTTAAGGTTAACGTCGTGCAGCGAAAACTCCCTATTAGCCTGGATTATTCTTAGTTTATTACCGTAAATACATGCAATACAGTTATTTGTTCACAATTGTTAATAAAAATACAAAAGCGAAGGTCTAATTAATAATTATAATAAGTATAATTTGTTTACACAAAAGTCGAATATAGTTTACCGTTTTATATGCTCGACACATAGGCCTACATACATAAATACGTATGATCCGTTGTCTTACCACACTTAAAAATTAATTTAGCAAAGTAATAAGAAAAATCATCATTATAAATGCATACATTCGTTCCTGACACCAACAATCCTCCAGCATTTATGTACATAAGGTTATCAACTTAATGCGATAAATATACACTTCTTTGCTTATAGGGCTCGAAAATTAAAAGTGACTGAACTAACAGGTTCATTTGTAAACATAACAAAATAATACATTGATCTTTGAATGAAAAACCATATATTTATATATATAATTACAGATCTATATAATGACATGGATTTACAAGTTTAGCGTTTTAATATGCTCGATATACATCGTACATACTGCTTAAAGGTCCAAAGTACAATCTGCCACCGTATTTTGACGTTTGTAGAATTTGTTTCAACATTGTTTCAAAGATAGATATGAGTGGTAATCTTTCTTGTAATATTCAACATCCGATTCTTCTGGCAAACTGTCCGTTATTTCGAATGTCGATATGAGGGTGCATGAGTTACTTCCATGTGAAAATCTAAATGCCTGGCAACACGCGCGTTGTAAACATGTCCGAGAACAGACTGTCAGCGATTCGGTACCTTCATGTAGTTGCGGTCCCGTAAGTCTAAATGATGTTTTCAGCTTGGTGAATTTAGCTTGTCCATCAAATAACCAATCTATCAAGAAAAATAGAGCAAAACAATTTTAAAGAATAAAACTGGCTCAATACGTTAATACTCCCTAGCAAAATGTGGCTTTCTTTGTGAAGGTCTTAGCAATCCAGAGGAACACTAACTATTATGTATGCTATTCCAATTGTAGTTACAATGTTCTACAAGTAGGCATATTATTATTTTATGTGTGTGCAATCATGAAACTTACCCAATCAATCAATCCGGCTTACCCAATCAATCAATCAATCAATCAATCAATCGATCGATCGATCCGATAAACCAATCAATTAATCAATCATCGGTCAATCAGTCAAGCACCTAACCATTATTAATCAATCAATAATAATTTTATTTGTATAGAATACAATAGAAAAATAACAGAAAATGTCAAAAAATATAGTCTTACTGTCGACAAACGCCGTATCTTTTATCGCTTTAATTTCTGCTTCATTCAATACACGATCGTACACCTGCAACAAGGCTACTTTAGCAAATAAATCGCCGTTGGAACTTCCCAGCTGCAATTCATCGATAGACATTAAGCCAAAGCTGTTAAAATCGGTAAAACCTATACTGGCGATCTCTCCATTTCTCCAGAGTTTGATGGTCTTCCTTGTGCCATCAAATGTAATAGCAAGGAACGTCCAAACCTCAGGTAGCAACACATGAGCTCGTGTTAACTGTTGGTCACCGTAGAAGACTGTGACTTCTGAACGGTACAAGAGCTCGTTAGAATAGGTCTGCTCAACTCTAAGCCGTGTATTACCGTTACATGCGCTCAGAATTTCGCCTGAAGAATTTCCATTTGGATAAATGTACATCGTGAATGTTAAAGCGTTTACTTCGTCATGAAAACTGTGACTTGCTACTGAGACGAGCGTGCTTACTGGCTGTAGAATGTCGGTATCATGTTTGCCGGCAGAGATCATTGTCATAGTCTGTAGAACTTTAGAGGTATACCACGAAGTCATACTGTTCGAGCCAATTTCGAAAATTTCGACTGCACCCATGTCAATAACGTTCGTGCCTGTAGCTGAAATAAGAGACAATTAACAAGTTTAAGACATTCTCTTTTGATAACTGTTGATTAAGATTTATATTTATTTTGTTGAGGACACACTAGTACTAGCTAAACTAATGATTTCCATCCCATTCTACGGCACTTTAAACACTTTTCATAGACAGATAAATTTTACCTTATGAATAAGTTGAAAACAGTGACAACATTGTACATTTTCTGGATTTACAATTTGACAACAGTGTAGGATGCATGAGTATATACCGTAAAAATACACATACAGGTCGATATGTCCATTATGATAGCTTTGCTCCATGGAACCATAAGACTCTTTCTTGGATTCGTAGATTAGTTCTAGAGCCCACAAACTGTATTCCCGATAAACTTCAAGTAGAACTTTGCAACATTAGAAAGCTTATGTCTTGGAATGGGTACCCATTAAAAGTTGTTTACAAATGTACTTAATAAATTAAATGAACCTAAATGTATACATAGGCTTATGATTCTGCACCTATTGTCAATATTGCCCATAACCACGGAATAAAAGTTCATATATATATATATGCTGACGACACACAACTTTACACATCTTTTGATCTACACTGTAATGAATCTGAAGCTAATGCCCGCAAACAAATGGAATTATGTATTGCTGATATCAAAGAAGCCTGAATGACCTATAATACATAGGCCTCTGATGATAGCTTGATTAAGATTTTTGGTTAGTTTGCCTTATCTAGGGAAAACATGTGAATCCACCTTACGTAGATGCTTAAACAAAGTAAAGAAACATTTAGTTGGTAAAATTCATAACTTTATGGCAGTACAAAAATGTTTCTCATATCTATTAAATCAAACCCCTAAGGAGTATAGAAGTTCTGTGTTTATCATCTTAAGTGTCCAGGTTTTAATAGTAATTATATTGGTAAGGCAGATAGATGCTCAATAGCTAGACTTAACGAACATTCTTCACGATCTGTAGTGTTATAAATGATCTTGTACAACATTTTTTAAGGCATTCCAACTTGTTTTAGGTTTACAAGTTGAAAATGATAATATGGCCTGTAATGTAATTAATAAATTAGGTTTAATATTTCCTATACTAACTTTATTGACAGTAATTGCTGGTCTATCCTATTGTTTAAAGAAGCGTTTGCTATACGTACACTACACCCATTGCTTAACAATGGGCTGAAAGCTTCAATTTAGCTTTTTTGTTTTTGTAGGTAGCTTTGATCAGTGGGTAAGAATTTTTTTATCTTTAGTTTATTCACAGCTATGTCACCTGAGGACTGAGGTAATGTTTTGATTGGTTTTTAAACACTTTTGATACTTGTGCATATAAAGCTTGCAAATATGGATACTTTTTAATTCCCGATTAATGTCGAAATATTGAATCCCATCGGCGTGCATTTCAATATACTTGGAGTATGTATATATTATCTTGTTCCAATAATAATTATTGAGGTATTATGAACAATCCGTGGTTGGATAGCAGCTTATAATTTAAATACTACTCGGAACAACAACCCATTTAGTGTTTCAATAATTCATAAATGGTGTACAATTACGTCTGTAGTGTACCCACTGAACGCTCCTACTTTAGCGAAGCTTTAGGCAAATTTCTTTGTGGAAAAGGGTAAAGATAAAGGTATGAGAGTAACCTACAATTAGCAGCCTCTGGGGCTCAATTCGACAAAGCTTTGGCAATTAGAGAGCTTAAAGTTTACATCAATCCACAACGACAGACGATGAAATGAACCAGAGTATCACGGCTATATCGAGACTGGATATCCGGCTTCAAGTCTTCATCCGAGATGAATTTATTATTCCAAGTGAACCCGGGTGGGCCTACTTGACTTACCTAGCGGGCATGATGTTCCTGCCTCTGCAACATTACATAACTCCCAGCGAGTATTTGGATCAGTGGTGTAACACCATGGTCGGGATACTGAGCTGTCCGGGTTTCGGCATAGGTTGTGATCCCCTATACCCTTTTCCGCATCGATAGCGATAGAGTGAGATTGGGGGGATTGCGATGTCCATGCCTGACATACTTTACCGTTTTCTGTGATTGATACTAGACCCCGATAGTCGCTATATAACTGACTGTCGAGACTGCAC